ATTGCCCAGAGGAGTACGAAAGCGCAAAAAGGCGCGTGAGTACGGGGCACAACTCCGGAGCACACTTCTTTAACACCAACGCCGGTATGCCGTCTGGCCCATTCGACTTGTGGACGTCAGAGACAGTAACTCTCGCCGGACTCGCCGTTGCGTTACGGATATTTCCGGCATAGAGTTACCACACCATGGGATGGTAGTAGGTATGGTGTCCCCGGCGTCCAAAGTCAAATTTGAGGCAAAAAGAGTGCACAACAAATCGGCCTTCTCTTTTGCACTGATTGCCAAATTGTCATCCGGCTTCCGTAGTGGTGGTAAGGACGACTGACTAAAGTTACCTTCGGCAGCTTTGGCAAGCGACCAAAAGGCACGAATTCCAGAAGGATGTCATGCTAGTCGTTCACCAATTTTACTGACGAAGTCGAATTTGGCTCTAGCAATTACTCTCTTACTAAACCTGGATGCAGCATTTAAATTCCGCCTTGCATCAGATACGTCAACATCACTGTTAAAACGAGCCTTGGTCCAAGCCTGATAAACAGTTTGTTTAGCCTGTTTGGCTTCTCTGCATGACCTATTAAACCACGGTCACTTTTTCGCCCCTGAAGCAACAAGCAGATTTGGAATAAAACATTCTATACCCGCAAGTATGACTTTAGTAACGGCGGCTGTACAGGTATCGACGACTTCTGATGCAAAGCAGTGCTGCTTCCAAGAGTAGGATGCGTAAAATTCTCGCAATCTGTCCCAATCTGCAGACTTATAATGCCACATGCGACGTTGCCAAGGACGTCGGGATATGGCAGGTTTTGTGCACAGTACCTGGTATCGGATAAGGCAGTGATCTGAAGAACCAAGTGGTGCCTCCAGGGTCACAGAATATCCGTCCGGTCGTGTAGTCAATAGGAGGTCCAGTAAGGACCTCGTATGGGTCTTGATATCAGGTATTCTCGTTGGAGAATGAACCAGTTGCGAGAATCCATAGGCCAGAGCAAACTCGTGAGCAGTTCTCCCCGCGTGGTCGGTGAGCCGAGAACGGAGCCACTCGGTGTGATGGGCATTGAAGTCTTCAAGTATCACTAGACTTGCGGAGGGATACTGCTCAAGAACTTTATCAGACGTCAATTGAAGGTGCTCAGACGACGAGTACAGACGAGTCGTATCCTCGTCACCGCTATGAGACCTGTATAGGCACGCATAGATGCCGGTGTAGTCATCCTGATCAATGCGAACCCATAGGATTGACAGGTCTTTTTCTTCTAGACCAAGAAGGCGGCGACAGCAAATATCTTCCCGGATATACAAACAAACCCCGGCACGACGCACAAATTTGTGCTCGATACCCAGGGTACAGCAGGTACGAAGTGTCAGCCGGAGAGGATATCTGCGTCTCCGTGCGGAATAAAAGGATCGCCTTGGCGGTCTCAAGGTGATGGTGGACCGCATTGATGTTTCCGTGAAGTCCCCTGATATTACAAAAATCCATATCTAATGTGGATTAGGGTGCCGCTGAAGTACTACATTTCCTTTTTTTGCTTCTGGCCATGGGTAGCTTTTTTTTAAGGTTAAAGGGGAATGGTTGCTCCGGTATCAGAAAGGACAAAAGGTGCATCAACGCACCCCAGCATTGCACAGGTTGGACGACTTGGTGGCACAGCGGCCGGAAGGGCCCCCGGTCCCACCATTGGTGTAGCAGCCGGGTCCATTCCGGTCTCCTCCTCCGGCACAACTACTACACCAGGTGATCATTGTGATCATTACTTGATATAAAAGAATTACAAGTTTTTAAAATCGTTTATTGTTCATTTAGTTTGTACAGAGAGCGCTCACAACAACGTCAAAAAGAAGGGGGCAACACTCGTCCAGAGTTGCCAACCTTATCTCCATTTTAGGCGTGGACACCAGGGATTATGCACAGGCGGCGGTTCAGCCTCCCAGGGCGGAGATTATGTCATCCCCGGGTTTGTGAACCCTACAACCTGCGGGCGGCCAGCGGTTAGCCGTTTCAACGGGTCTCCCTGAACGCCGCGCCACCACATCGCGCCTATGCAACCCCGAGGCACTGTTGGACACACAGATCCACCAATACCATGGGGCTCTGGTCACCTTACTCACCATAGTAACACAGTGCTGTTGTGCAAGTATAGCACTGTTTGGCTGTGGTTTTCCGCTTGGTGGAGGTACTACGCCAGTTCGGGCCGCCCCAAGTCGAGCAAGATGTATCGAAATACATCTTCCTGTGCCCTCCCTTCTAGAATAATATGCATGTAGTAAAAAATGGTTATGTCAATATTACAAACAGACACTACAATTTTATATGTATAGAGGATAGATGATTAAAAGCTACATAGTTGAATTGTTCAGATATTATCTGTGAGATATTTTTTAAAGATAAGGACGCAAAGGACGGACCTGAAACTATTTAGAAAATTGCCTGTTTTCGTACTAATTACTTTTTTAAATTAAATTCTTATAACGCTGTTATACATTACACGTATTTTGACAGCATTTTGATATTATTTACAATAATGAACAATATTGTTGTTATTATATGTCTAGTATTTTATTTCATATATGTATTAAGCAGGTGTGAATGAAACTGTACTAAGTAATAAACATTTATTTTCAATATAAAAAATACAACTTGTTATGTCCAACAGAGTTTTATAAGATAATGTAAATTTTACAATTAAACTCTATCTATAGTGGATTTGTATATAGGTTGTCTACCAGCTTCATTTAAAGTTAGTTTATGTTGGTATTTATGTTAGTACGTCTGCTTATCTATTTACATTTAATTATAGTAATTATTATATTGTACTTTATATTAACATACACGTGTGACATTTGTTTGTGACAGTGGCTCTTGTAGGAAAGTTACGAAACTACGAAGAAGACACTGACCAAGTGGTATATAAAAAATATATGTATAGATACACGTTTACGCTAACAAATAACACATCTACCTATATAACGGAACCGTAGAATTGTGTCAAGTAACCATTCATAATGCGATAAGGTACTGTCGGGACTTTCTTAGTCGCATATTTCTATAAAACGAAGTCACTCGTAATGGCTTTTTATAATTTACATACAATGCCAGTTGTAACTACCGGCGCACAATATTTTTTTATCCGTAAGCCTATCCAATTGTGAAGGTTGGGGGAGTGAATACCAAATAACATTTGAAATTAGATGTAAAACTGGTAACCACTTAGTACAAAAAGTAAATAACACTAATTGATTTTACATTATTTACCTCTTCATTATGTAGGTACGCTGGTATACAAACATAAAAGTGATATCGTAGCGGAACATATAAGAAGTATGCGATTGCAAGTATTTAAGGTATATTTTTGAAATCTAACTTTCAAGAAATATTGATGATTAGCATTGTAATATGAGACATTATTTACACTATTCTGTTGTTTTTCTTAGTGAATTTTGGAAAATGTACCTACTTACTTTTGTTATATGTGAAATAGTTTTATATGCATTACTTAGTTGCTTTATTTCTAGAAATTTATTTTGTATTGAGTAGTAATAATATCAAATGAAAGAAAATCACACAATACTTATTTATCATATAGATAATCTATTATTATTAACAACTTAAAAAAATGTTTACATATTCAAGCCAACCTACTGCTATATTTATTAATTCACTTGGTACTTTTTGCATGGAGCAAACCTTGTCTTCGATTATAACAGGCTAGTTGCAATACTTACGAGTACAATGCTAAAATGATAAAATGTAGGTACCAAAAATGGTAAATGTCCAATATTCTTTCTGCATTGCCATATTCACTTAATCCTTTTTCATTTTCAGATTATTGTTTAGCTCATTTCCCTTCCTCAAGAAGAACCAACCTACCTACAAGGTAATGTTCGCTAATTCTACATATATTGTCTGCCATAAACGTAGCTCTCTCTAGCATATATTATACAATGCAGAGACAACAGTGAAGTTGTATATCAATTCCACTTTTCGCTTTAGATCTGGCTGCAAAAAAAATTCTTATATTTTAATTTCATTCCTTTCATTTATCTATGTTGGCGATGTATTTATCACATGTAATCGTGTATCCAACATTCATAATAGTCCAGTATTCTTATCCGTAACGCGTAATCTACTTTATATTATATTATATATAAAATGTTCAGTTACCTAATAAATGTTAATGATATCAGTCTTTATCGGAATTGGTTTCCAGAGTAGTCTGGTTTCCTATGTAGGAAGTTTAGAGAGTCATTACAATACTCAGTCTGAAAACAGTAATGGTATTTTTCTTGTAATGCCTTTTGTTTTAAATTAACTGACTATTTTACCATAATATAATATACCTATCAATAAAAGAAGAAAAAATCGATAGAATTCTGCCACTCGAAAAACAAACATATCTATTTTTTCATATAAATCATTTAAACATATCATATTTCTTTCCTTCAAAAATTAAGTAACATCAATGTGTGTGAATATAGGATCATTTATCTAATCAAGCTTTATTATTTTATTAAGTTACATAATATATAATCTAAATTAAAAAAGGGAATAATGCGTAATATGCCTAGTTTTAATAGCGAGCTCACTTGTAATAAATAAAGTTTTAATAGTGCAAATTCAAATGTGGATATAACGTTTATTGCACTTTACTTATATACCTGAATAGTCTTTTTTGTATAATTCTATTAATTAAATCTAGGATATTAATAATCATAAGAATTTATTATACACACTCGTTGAATTTAAATTAAGTGTAGAGGTTATATGAGACCTCTAGTAGTGAAATGGAAACGGCTGGTATCAATGGGTGTTAAGCTAATTTAGCATTATGGTGGTAAAACAAGTGGCCTCGTAGTAGGCAGTTCGTGTTGTGTGGTGCATTATGAGCTGCCAAACGAACAGCAGACGTGCCGTAGACACCGCGCTGAAACAGCGTCCTTCTATCTCGTTAATATTGGCTACGATTTTAGCGATACAGTGACTGAAGTTCGTGATTGTGTACCTTTTCTCTGAGTCCCTGGTAGCCTAAATTATAAAATCATTAAAATGATTCTGGTGAGTAGATTTTTGCGTTTGTGTTATTATATAAATAATAAGTTTTATTATAATAATTTACCGGAATAGTAACGATACCTAATAATAATATAATCTTCATCAGTCATTTGCAATAATGTTATGATATTAGATTATATGCCAATTTTTCTTAAATTATTATAAAAAAAATATTGCGAATTGTTCTAAGTATAATAATTTTTAAAGTTTTAAGATATTAGTTAATAAATTCTTATACAGTGGGTAGAATAATGATTAATTACAGTAGATTTAGAGAAAATAATTGCATTAAGATTTTATAGCCTAGATATAGTGTAAAAAGCATGAAAATCCTATTTTCTGTAATGCTAACAATTATTTAATTCTTACCAGTCGATATAACAATTTTTGTCGCTAAGTTCATATAATATTTTGTTTATACCTACTATTAGTGCAAGCAAGTTCGATACCATTTCTATCTACATATAAAGAAAATATGTTTATATTATTTATACGTAACCTTGCTGTGCAAAACCGACTTGCGCTTGCTAATCTATTTCATTATGGATTTTAAGAAAATCTTAGTATTGGAATTTTCGGTAGTTCAAACAATAAATGCAAGGGACGTAGACGCGGTTGGCGGCGGTACTGATTAGTATCATATTAAAAGATTAAAAAAAAACTAATAATTATGTCGAAATAATAATCTTTTTTAAAATATTTTCAGTATTACGTAGTTAGCGTAATAGAAATAGTAGAGCGCATCACAAATTGTATGTAGTCTACTGTAACATTGACATAATTAAGTCATGCACTTAAATTAGTCTAGGACATAAAGTAACTCTACTATGAAGTCTCTAATTTCAATATCGATTCCAATACAACAATGCTGCAAAGCCCTTACTATTTAAAACTAAACCGATTAAAATGTATATACTGTCAGTTCATTCTTTAATAAGCTAATTTGTCCCATTGATGTGTCAAAGCCCCGTTAAACTTCTCTATCTTGGGATAATTTACTTTTTATAGGAATTAGTGTCCAAAGTAGATTAGCTTAATATACATTTTATACAGTAATTACAATACTGAGTCTGAAAACAATAAGATTTTCGTTTTAAGTAGACAAATTGTAAAACAAATCATATTTATATACAAAAAACATCAACGCGCTACTATTTCATAAATGTAAAATAAGTTTTAGCAATTTTTATCGGGATTTGTCAAATTTGTCAATTTTGTACTTATAGGTTTATAAAGGATATCTTTATAAAGTTAAGTTTTACCTTTTACTGATTATATATTTTATTTACTGAAGCATTCATAACTTTATGTATAGCAGTAAAATAAAATAGTAGCATGCAGCATTTCTAGCATATCTTCTAATACATAAAATTCTCGTGTCACACTGTTAGTTGTCATATTACACCGAAACGGCATAGGTAACCGATTTTGATGAAATATTATATGTATACTCGATAAGTAAGTTATTTATTCATTATACCTAAAAAATAAAGGTAAAGCACATTATATTATAATTATGTAAGACAAATTACAAGATTGTATTATGTTGTAAAATCCTTTATAAATGTTATCATTGGTCTGTAACTCGTAACTATTTAACCGAGGTAAACTTTGTACAAAGTCACCCCACTCTATACATAGACACCCCTGTTTTACCTATTTCAACCACCAGGCAACTTATTAAAAAAAATGTATGTTTAAAGTGGAAAATGTAGCAGTTAAATTTTATTAATACATTAATAATTTTTTTTTTGATTTGGCATGCACGGAATCACAGACAAATACACAAAAACTATCAGTTCATGTATTATTTTGGGTTTTATTAAATTTATAAAGTCCTCCATAATCGGTATTCTCATATCATTATCATTCTTGAACACAATCTACAATGAAAATGTTATATAGGTTACTGAAAACCTGTAACTTCGTCTGACCCATGAAAATACTTCGTTACTGGTTATTCCAACTATAACAATTACTTATTTCTCTAACTGTAACTGGTAACTAGAATAACAGAAGCTGACATTCCACCTCTTGGACGGACAATCTCCACGGACATTACGTCAGTTAAAATGTGACAATTTTACTGCCTTATCACCCTTCAACGGAAGTTTTACGGTAGCTGAAATAGTTTAGAGTGCAGTACCCGTAGATGCAGTTAGCAGAATAAAAAGTCATTGATGAATAGAATTTAATCTGTGGAGCCTCCTCGCGGCGCTTTTGGAAACAGCTAGAAGTGGTAATGCAGTGTTTAGGCTGGTCAATCTTTTTACGATAATTACAACCCAAGTCTTAAACCATTAAGTTATCAGTAAGAGAATTGATTGAAGAAAAATCCGTGACTGATTCCTTTCTGATGATTCTGATAATTTGTAGAGGATATATTTGTACGACTATATATAGGCCAATGTGTCCCATCTTTTTTTTAATATTTGTTTATAATATTATCGTAAAAGTTATTTTCTGTATAATATACTGAAACAACGAAACGAACGAACGACAGTTCCAACATATTTAGCCTTCCTTTTTCAAAATGATTTCCAGATTGCAGAACCATACCTAGAGTCACTTCATATCCAGAGTTTTGAGACTTGCGGGGAGGGGGGGGGGGGGAGACTTTTGTACCTAACTTAAAATCCAGGGAAATCGTGAAACTAATGTTAGTGGCGTTATGGCGACACAAGTGCGTGGGCTCATCTCCAGCTCCGAAGTGTCGACAGGTCATCGACACATAAAACATGTGAAAGTGTTAATAATTCTTTCCTTGCGCACCCACTCGTCCACTGGAAATACGTATTTGTGATGACATCCTCGGGTTTATGTTTATAAAGTAGTAAAAAAATTAAAGCACTGCGATTGTATCAATGACGGATATAACAGAAACAGGGGTCATCTGTAGGTAGGTACTTGTGTGAGGTAATTACGTCTTTTTGCATAAAAACAATTGACACCAACCTTCTCCTGCGTAAAAATACTATCTATTGTTAATGTTAATATTATGTTAGTACAAGTTAAAATTAACCAAAAATAGACGAACCAAAAATATATATATTAGCGATAAGAAGGCATTTTTGGAAAATTTAAATTCTTAGAAACAAAGGAAGTTCATTGTAGGTGTTGAAATGTATAGTAGGTAGTGGGTATAATAGCTTATCCATTACAACTTAAATTACATAAAACTGAGTAACAAGTGTTGTAGCGTTCTTGGAACACCTATAAGCATAATTCGGGGGTAAAAAATTCTAAGATTCGGTCTGTAGATACGACATTTTTGAGCTTTGGAATGGAGACTGCAGAGATAGACTATCAACTTTTTATGAAATCATCCTAAAGTGGAATGGAAATAACTACCTATTAACGTCCTACTGTTCGTCGAGGTAAAGAAGCACATATGAGGGCTGCCAGTGGTAGACGGCGGCAGTCGCTAACCGCCGCGTTGTATAAGTCGTGAGTGGATGCCGCTGAGACGTGGGCGTCGAACCGCCCGTGGCGCCACTCGGTCTGCAGGCGCGTATTTCCCACGCCTCCCTCCCCAACCCTCCGCAGCCTCTCGTGTATCGGTGTGAAGTTTTATTAATAAATGCCTCAAAACTTTCACTGCCAAATAAATACAAGTTTTTGGAAGTGCGTGAATAATTATTTTTACGTGCAAACCTGTTTTCAATATAATGCCAGACGAAGTTAAAACCTAGGAGGCCTCACCTAAGATCAGAGACATGTTTCAATGCTTGAACGTACATGCCTAATGAATACCTATACCCTTTAAATACATATACATGAAGATTATAAATTAGGTAGTATATATAAAAAAAATCTTAAAGCTATATTGGCATATTACTACTTCAGATAGAAGTAACATTGGTTCTATTTCGCCTGATATTATATTATGCCGCGAAATAACCTTCATCTTTGCTTTATAAGTAACTTAGATATTTGTTATGTGACCAATAGGTAATACAAAACAACGTTTTCCTTAATAACATACAGTAAATTTGTAATGTAAATCTTCAGAGCACGTCTTGTTCATTGCAGGTGTTTGACAAGTATGTAAAATTAAAGTAGGGTTATAGCAAATTCTGTAGATACGTAACGACCATCTGAGAAATGCCATGCGGCCAGACCTAACGGAATCATTGACGGGGACAGGTTCTTAGGCAGTTTTATGTGCTAACTATTGTGCGAGTACTGTAACGAGTGAATGACACCTACATAAATGTGCAAATACTTTCCATATTATTCAAAAGTCTCTATACATCTATATATTTAAATATTAATGATATAATAATAAACGCTATATAATGTCTAGTATTAGGACTTAAAATTCTAAACAACTATATAATAAAACCATGTATTTATAGGTGGTGCGGGACACATAACTTGAGATGTGTATCTGATAGGTTAGCTAAATCTTGCTAATATTATAATCGCGGAAGTTTGTGAGTGTGGTTGGATGAATGGATGGATGTTTCTTACTCTTTCACCCAAAAATTATTGAATAGATTTTTATTATAGTTTACAATATATCTTATATTAGCAATATAGATTATTATAGTTTACATATATATAGCTTGTACATCAAATATAATTTCACGCGAATGAAACCGTGGACACAGCTAGTTACATAATATAAAAACAATACCTTAGGGGGCTAAGGTATTGTTTTTATTATTAGATAGTGGCATTGTCTACCAGTATCTATTATATTCTAGTATCATAGATAGAACTAAATAGTGTACATTAGGTAGGTACTATAATTTAGTTGTTTCTTGACTATTCGAGACACATAAAAATTTTACTTGACAGTAACGACTTCGAAGCCAGCTTTTAACATTACTCGATTTGAATACTCGATGATATATACCTACCTATTTTGTGCTATAGTGTTGTTTATTTAGTACTAAGTTAACTAAAAATAAATATCACATCATCATCAGAAATTACAACAAAACCTAAAGTATTCTAAGGGCAGTCGTCCACAACTTACAACACATAACTACATACTT